GAACTTGTAATGTTGTAACAAGGGACTGTTTGTTTTAGGGGGTGGAGGGGGAGCAGTTCATGGAAAGAGAAGTACTGACCAGACAGAAGAGAAAAGAGACGAGAAGAGAAGAGATTTGCAATGAACTTGTATTTGTAAAAACTGTTTCTTATGAGAAGACAAAAATGTACCATTGAATCATTCGAATTTCAGGGTGCTAATCCTTGCATTTTAGGGTACATTATAGATTAAGTGTGTGCTCATTAACACTGTTTCTCAACCAGGGGACCCTGGTGGTCTATGCGGGTATTGCATAAAGTCTGGAGGAAAAAAATTAAATAAATATGTGTAAATATTGACCTTTATTTGACAGCAGATAGGAAACGACAGGAAATAGAGAGGGGGTATGATATGCAACAAAGGTCCCCAGCTGGAAACAAACTGGGGACATTGCAGTTATGGGGTGTGTGCTTTAACCGTTCAGCAAACAGGATGCTCCATATATATGTTTATTCACTTTTTATATTTGATTTGATATTTATTTTCTCGATAGGTTTTTTGAATCTCTGTTGCTCCAGTTCCAGTGTGCAATGGAAGCAATTTCACACCTGTTACTAAATTGCATCTCACAAAAGCTGGTTGGCCTGCTCTGTTTATACATATTCAAAAGGCTAAGGGACTTGAATGGGGTTATTATGTAAAGGTGGAGTCACAAATGTGCCAGGTACCAGGCTCCTTCTGGCAGTACAGGAGGTCGAGTACTGAGCTACTCTAAAGTGTTAAAAATTCTGTCAACATATTGACTGTTGTTTAAAATGCATCACACCTTGGATAAGCACACCAGTGATAAAAAAAAAAAACGATTTGTCAGGGAGTTGGATACACCTCCTGATCGAAAGTAAGACTTTCTTTTCACATTCACACATCACAGTGAAAAGACGACAAGCTGTGAAAGCAGAAATCAATCTCACAGACACCTCGGGCCCTAAAGAATGAAATAAAGCAAACATGTTGTTTACATGCTGGGATTTAAGTTATGCTAATACTTTGACAACACCGAACATCTTGTGCAGGTTAAGAATCAGGATCTGTGACACGGAACAAATTTCCCAAAGTGCATGTCTGAGCTTTAATATCGTCAAAGATGAATTGCTCCTCAAGCCAAACTGATTACTTGCATCAAAGATTGCTCTGCTACGGCCATCAAACCGATGATGAAAATTACATGTTCATGAAGATCACTAGTGGCAGAAGTGCTTATTAATTGCAATGCCTCAGCAGCTTTCAGGTTTGTTTATTTACACAGTTTATACCATAATAAACCTTCCTCCAACCACCTTTTTATCGACATCAATAGATGTTGGTGTAATAGGAAATACTGCAGTTCGGAATCATGCATTACAGATGTCATGCCGTATGTGGATTGCACTACAATGCTGCTTTGTTGTTTGTTTGTTTTCTCACATTTCATAGTCACAGTTCCTGTGGTCTCAATAATGTGTGTTAACAGTCTGCAAAAATGACAAACAGCTTTGTTCCCATTAAGATGCCTGTATGCTACAAATAAATTCAATGGCCCTATAAATATTGAATTATTGTGAGCATATTGTCTGAAAATCAGCAGCCACGTTGAATGAAGAGGCCTGTGCAATATATGACACATTCACACATAAAGATAATGACTTTATGTCAGAACTTAAAGGCTCCGTTAACTTCAGTTTATATTATAAATAGAAAGATGAAATTCCACAAAGCTAAAAAAAATACTTTATTTCTCTCCCTGTCATCTTCCACATTGTGCTCTCCTTTATCATTGTATCTCCATATGTCAGGATAAATTATGCATGCAGAGCTAACAACAAAGCCCAGTCAGGCATATAATTAAAAAAAAAAAAAGAATCACCTCAGCATTTTTTCAACTGTGGAACAACAAAAACACGTCCTAAATATACAATGTCATGCATAATTGGATAGGATCAAAAATGTGGTGCTATCATATAGAAAATTATCCATGACGGGAGATTTGCTGTTCAAAAAGATGACAAATCTGACTCAGTTACCTCTGATCAAACTATAAAGGGAAAAAGCAAAACATATATATTTTATACTCCCTACCTTTTAACACCTGCAGCGGATTCACAAACTCCCTAGAAAATAAAGTATGATCTTTTCAAAGTGAGTGAAGTCAAAACATACTGAGGGTCAATTCAATCACAAATTCTAAAAAACAGGTGTTGAGAAAGTGATAATAAAATAAATAAAGTGATCTCATTAATGCACCTAGCACTTCAGCATATATATATGCAAAGACACCCACAATACCATATGACAGATTGGAAAACTGCTAATGAGGATCAGTAACTCATGGTCAGCTGGTAACTGAATGCAGCCGGGAGGCAACTGAGATGTAATGAATAATAAAATTATTAGTATTTATGTCTGAGTGATTAAACGTGTAGAAAGAAAAAACCCTCATTTTTCTGCCTGTCTTTATTTGTCCTTGTAATTATACATTATCATTAAACTGATTAAACCACTGCCACAATTCTGAAAGCAAGAAAGATTCTACTTTTCTAACAGATCAACAATCATGACGAGTTTTCAACCATCCCACAGTGCCGAAGATCAATGTTCAGTGTGGTTTTAGATCTTTCAGTGTGAGACCCCCCTGCCGTGACGCCCTGCCTCAGCATCTCAGGTTGGAAAGTCAGATAAATCTTTTAAATCTCTTCTCAAAACTTATATGTGTGTTGGAAGATAAATAGGCCTACCATTCTCATAACTGGAAAGCTAAATATGTAGCTGTAGCCAGAAGCTTGTCAGCTTAGCTTAGCATAAAGACTAGAAACAAGGGAAACCAACTAGCCTGGTTTTGTCTGAAGGTAACAAATATGCCTAAGAGCGGCTTTAAAGCTCACTTATCAACATGTTATATCTCGCTTATCATTGACAATTCGCTGGGGAGGTTCTGTGCAACTGGTCTTGCCCAAGAAATAGTTTGACACATGATCCCCGTAAAATTGCAAATTTCCATTTTTAGACTTTGGTTTTCTTGTTATTAAGTAAAAGTAGCTGTACCACTGTTTAGAAATACTCGTTACTTAAAGCAACAACAAGGAACTTTCATTTTGTGTTGATTCTGGCGGCCCCAGAGGAAAAATGTGGTAGTGTTTCCACCACCTCGTTTCATTGATTTCAAAGGGAATCTGACTAATTCCGACTCGCTGGTAGGCATTAGGAATAACTACAGAAATAGTCTACTAATCTTCTCGCTGATGGTCTTGTATGTGTGAGATTGTGATTATGTAGGTCATATAAAGGCATCAGTATTAGACTGTTTCATAATTGTTTCATAACCCAACTTGGACCGCCATGTTTCTATACTATCCCAGAACAGACAAAGCAAACACTGGCTGTAGATGGTGCCGTTCACTTTTTTTGTGAAGTCACAAAAATTTACACTCCTACACACTTGGAGGGCTGAGCTGTATTCAGATGGTTGCAAATTGCAACTTCACCACTAGATACCACTGAATCCTACAGACTGCAATCATACCTTTCTTTTATTTTATTTTTTTATGCTATTAATAAAGCCTGTCACAGTCTGTATTAATGAACAGGAAGTGACTCTTCCTCTGACAAATACAAACCACAATGACATGTTCAGCCATCCCCTGAACATTTTGATGATATCATTCCTTGAAAAACAGCACTCAGTAGTGATCATGCATTGCAGCCGAGGCTTTTATTTTGCAGGGTAAGCTTTCAAATTAAGCCCAATAAGTACAGTTTCTCTCTTTGAACATGAAGCAGAAGTGACAAACCCCAATTTCCACATGGGAATGTATCTGTCTGAGCAGTAATGAAATGAGTGGGGCCTGTTTTCCCAGCAGTGCTTGAGCAAGAAGATCAACTTAGTGCCAGTGTAAGCTAATGCATAAAGATGATGATACTGCTGAGACGCTTCTGCTTAATTGGTCTTTGAGATGTCATACACTTAAAAAAATAAAGAGCCTTCAGGCACAATCCACTTGAAGCCAAAATCATGTGCTCATTTCAGGGTTTCTCTTCTTTATTTTATATTTCAAAAATATGTTAAGTTGAATAAATTAAAAACTTGCTTTGAATACTCTTTTGACCAGAAATTCTTTTGACCACATAACTTGTTAATGTTAATAAATGTAACTGCAATGCTGCTGTATTTAACATTTAACATTATTGATGTAAGCAAACCTTGGCCTGTATTAATCAAACATAATTTAAAGAATCACTCTTTATTCTTTAAAGACTATTTAAAATGTTCTGAGCATGAGCAATGAGACACTTTTATCAAATGACTTACTGTAAAAATAACCTTTAGGAACAGCTTTTAACTGGATGATTAATGATTAATCACATGTGCTCAGAGCTGGAATAGTCAATCATACACAAGGATCTGCCACATTCTTAATTTGTTGTTTTAAAAGACCTTTACATTTTATTCTGTGATATGTTCCTCTGCAAAAAAGTTATTTTATTTTTTCATCCTTAATATCTCTAGTAACAATTAACGTGAAATTAAAAGCAATCTTATTTTATAATATATTTAGATGAAATAATGGGAAAATAGCTGAAATGGACACAAAAAGAAAACCAAACTGGAACAAGAAAGAAATTCTGCAGCTGGAGATCAATGTACATCAGACAATTTAGTACCACGTTGACATGCAAGACAGTTAAGACACATGGAAACGGCTTGCAAACATAATGTCAGCTTAATTTGTGCTGTTTGTAGCGCTTTAAATGCAAAAAAGTGACAAATCAAATTAAATAGTAGGTTAAAACTCTTATACTCTGAATTATACACATCGCTTCAGCTAGTGTGCTCAATATGTCCAATTATATTTTGCATAATCACTCAAAAACATGTCTCAAAAGGTGTGTGTTTACCTCTGTTTCTGTACTGCAGTCTTCTCAGATCTTCTCTTAACCAGCTTAAGAGATCTATCCTAAATTAAAAAGCATTTTTAAGTTGGAAGAAATGTCATTAATAGATTTTATTAGATACAAATTGTATAAGACTTTGACCTTTTATATTTCACTTATATCCAAAACTTACAAATAAATACAGGCTTTTAAGGCTCACTTGACCTGAATACTTCCAAAAAACAAACCAGGATTTGCCTCTCTCGTGGTCTACACTGTGTCATATTATATATAATCAAAATTAAAGAAGCTTTAGTTTTCTTTGTGCATCCTGAGTTAAACTTTTTGAATGTCAGTGGCTTCCTCAAAGTGAGAGTCAATCACCAGTCTTGATTGCAGCCTGAATGTAAAAAGTAGGCAATATTACAGCCGCCTGAACACTGGGCAGACCTTAAATTGGCTCTCTCTCCCAAATACAGACGCAATGAATTTCACATGGGAGCTCTAAGAACAAAGTGCTCTCAATAACACTGTACTCCACTCACACACACACTCTCTCTCTAACTCCACTCACACTCACCCACACACACACACACACTTGCAGATATTTGTATGCCTATGTAAAGCATTTTCTTCCTTTATGTACCACGCACTAAAAAGCTCTTACAAAATGCTGTAAACATCATCCTCATACGATATTATATGAATACAAAATGACAAGAATCTGTACACTGTTTACATTATTCAACCAAATATGTGCTCATTACAATGTGATTTAGTCTAGTTTGTACAATGTCTTTAGACTCCAGTCCAAGCTATATTTTGAGTTTTAGACTTCTGAGACGCTCCATCAGCTCCAACTGGCCCAGGATCAGCAATCTACAACAAAAAAAAATTACCTCCTACTCCATGGCCAGGTCAACCCTGTCAGTCGTCATCGGCCCTGTCTTGACTGAGATCCACAAATCGTCAGTATTGGCCGAAGTCTTTTTCTTCTTCGTTTCTGACTTTGCTATTGCCATGGTGTCTCTGCTGCAGCAACAGCAACAGCAGCCGTTGGCATGGCGACAGCAGCAGCAGTGGCAGCACACCACCAAAGTAGTGAGGAGGACCAGCAGGGGAAGAGTTAGGAGGACCACCAGGCAGATTGTGTTGTAGACCCCCTGGTTGTGTTTGTATGTAGCGAAGCTCCACAGTTGGTTGAAAAAATCTTGAATGCTTTCTGTTTTACCATCCATGGCTTTCAGATACGGAGCTGCGGCTCCTTTTAATTGAGTCTGTCTGGCAGTTGTAAAGATTTAATAAATGCTTTAGAGGATTGTTAAGTTTGTAAGTCAGTAAATGTGCATATAAGGCAGCTGGAGACACCAAAATAATTAAGATATGGTGTTTAATTTAAGATAAAAGTCCTTACATAATCTGGTTGGAGTTTTAAAGTTTAAACATATGAAGTTTTACTCTCAGTGTTCAGCACAGCACTGAACAACCACCAGCCCAACACGTGTCAGGTCAGATATTTCTACTTATAATGATTAGTAAGTTTAGATAGTTGCCCTGAAATCAGCACTATCTACCTTCGAGGCTTGTGGTGTTTATGTTCACTGGAAACACTGGAAGCATGGAGGGTGACTGCATGTATGCCTCCTTCCTTTAAAGTGTCCTATGACATGGTTTCAAAGTCAAAGCATTCTTGAAATAAATCCAAAAGACCAAAAGCTCATTTGTTTGTAACAAATTCTTTGAAATCGCCTAGTTGCAATGATTCTGATCTTGATGGAGGAGGGAAAAGTTTATTTATGTTGCTTGGCATTCCAGCAACTGTTTTCTTGTTCTTTGTCTTCTCTTGTCCTCTTGCCCTTTGGCTTTAGGTTTAGTTTATTCCAGCTGTAGAGAGGTGGTTCGATTTGGGTGCGTCTGTGGAGCAAAACAAAAAAAAAAAAGACAGAAAGTGAACATGGAGAGAAATTTGGTTTTCAGCAGACAGCTCGTCTTCTTCTTTCCCTCTTTCCCTTCCCTGCCTCAAATCCATCTTTCTGTCTCTGTCTTTAACGTCTCTACTCCTGCTCTCTCCCCCTCTTGTCAGTCTCAGCTTCAGATTTTCAGCTTTCCCCTCATTAATACTGCAGAAGAGTCATTCAGGATTCATGGCAGATCTCTCTAAGAGTCCCGCTGAGAAAGAACGGGGCAAACAGAGAGAGAGAAAGAAGGAGTAGGATGAAATGGAGGGAGATTGTGTGTGAGGGAAGGCCAGACAGAGATGGAGGTAACCAATCTCTGTAAGAGTCCCGCTGAGACGAGAGTGTGACAGAGAAGTGGTGGTG